CTTGGTGTTATCAGCACTACAGTCTCCCAAGTGAGCCACGGGCCGGCCCTCTATACCTCAAAACTTCTACCCACACTTCTTTTTTTAAAAAAAATTTTAACGTCAATTGATAAGAAAAATTTAACTCAAAGATTAACATCCTTAATGAAAAAATAACTCAAAACTGAATTAGAAAAATTTAAGCAGAAACTTGGTGATGATGATTTTATTTCTAAGGGAAAGATTTCTAGCAGTGAGACTGCTGGGTGAAGGGCTTATGGGTTTTTAATTTTAATAGACATTGCCAGCTTGTAGATATTGACAAACTGATTCTAAAGTTTATACAGAAAAGCAAAGACCTAGAATGGCCTACACACTACTACAGAAAAAATAAAATTGGAGGACTGGTACTACCTAGTCAAGACTTCCTTGTAGCTACAGCAATCAAAATAGCTCGGCAAAAGAATAGACATATAGATCAATACAACAGAATAGAGAGCCCAGAAATAGACCGACACAAATAAAAGCAATTGATCTTTGACAAAGGAGCACAGGCAATTCAACGCAGAAAGGACAGTCTTTTCAACACGTGGTGCTGGAACAACTGGATGTCCATACGCAAAAAGTAAGTCCAGGCACAATGCACCTTTTACAAAAATGAATGTAAAAGGGGTCATGATATTAGACGTAGAACAGACAAATTCGTAGAGACAGGAAGTAGAATAGAGGTTACCAGGGGCTGGGGGAGGAGAGATGGAGCTTTGTTTAATGGGTACCTAGTTTCTGATTGGAGAAAGTTCTGAGGATGGATGATGGTGATGGTTACACAGCAGTAAGAATATACTTAATACCACTGAATCGCATTCTTGGAAATGATTAAAATGGTAAATTATATGTGATTTATGTTTTACCACACACACATGCGCACACACATGCGCACACACGCGCGCGCACACGCACACACATGCACTCGCATGCACGCACGCACACACGCACACGCACGCACGCACACAGCGCACACGCACACGCACACGCACACGCGTGCGCGCACGCACGCGCGCACACACATGCACAGACACACGCACACGCACACAAGCACACACACGCATGCACACGCACGCACGCACAGACACACGCACACACGCACACGCACAGACGCACGCACTCACACACGCGCGCACACACACATGCACAGACACACGCACGCACACACACACACACACGCACACACACTTCTTTTCAGAAAGTTCTTTTAGAGAGTGGTTTGAGCTAAAGCAAAATGGTGAACATCTGTAACAGCTTAGGTGGTGTTTTACACATAGATTCTGTCCATGGGAAGAATCAATGAAAGGCTGGTCTGGCTTCAGAAGGGGCCTGTGAATTACTCTCGTCCTGGATTGTTTTCATAGGAGGTGTGTAGGCAATAAAGCCAAAGGTGTGTGTGTGTGTCGTGGGGGGCGGTGTTTATTGGATTTTTCTTCTATCATTTCCTTCTTTTAAAGTTCCGCTTCATCAAGCAGAGTGACAGGAACTCAGGAACACCCCAAATCATCTCGACGGACCGCAACCAACCCCTGTCGCCAGCAGGAGTTACAATGTAGCCATCTCTGTAACCTTGCATATACAGATATATAAAAGGGCAAACAAAGCGGGCCCTCCGGTGGTTTCCGTAGTGTAGCGGTTATCACGTTCGCCTCACACGCGAAAGGTCCCCGGTTCGATCCCGGGCGGGAACAAGTTTGTGTTTCCTTTTATCATAGGGATAAAAATACTTAACATTATTTCAATTTAACAGGAAAAGTAATCAGATTCAACTCCACCCCCGGCTTTTGGAAATTTTCGTGGAATTTTAAAAGTGATTTCAAAGTAATAAAAACTTTGGTTTGATGAGTTGACTAGAAATTTTAAAAAGGATGAAGGGGAGAAAAAACTCCAACTTGCTTGCGTTGGCCGGGAATCGAACCCGGGTCAACTGCTTGGAAGGCAGCTATGCTAACCACTATACCACCAACGCCCGTCGACAAGCGGTTTATGCGAAGGCCCTTAATAGATGGGTCAGCGGCTCGGCTGGGTGATACCAAGTTACACGGGGGTGTCTCTCCCTAGAGTCCGTTCCCCCCCACCGGAAGACGTCGCCCGCGGGCCGTTCCACACGGTCCGTCCCCCCCCCACCAGGGCGTAGCAGGCGCCTTGGTTCCGGCCCGGCGGTGTCCAATCCCAGGCCGCCGCCTGGGCAGCTC